AATTTATGCACAGATAAAGTTATGCTATGGATTATGAGTTAAAAAAGTTTGGGATAATAAACTGTAATGATGAATACTTGAGTGTATAATGTGGTTTCTTTTGCGTTCGTAACATACATAATTGATCATTAAAAGAACTTTATATTAGATATACGATTTACTTAGAAACACTGTTTTAGATATAAGAGGAAGAAAGAAATAAAAGATCGGAAAATAAAGTAACATAAAGGTGTAAGCGGAAACTATGATATTGTTATATAATTGTTACTTCAATGCATAATTGATCGTTATTTTTATATTTAAGCAGTCAGCATTTGTATATTTATGCAATCAACAATCATACATATTAGTTTCAACTGATTTTAACAGACGGAAACAGTTATCTAGACGGAAAATGATGGATAATAACTGAAAACTTTTATTTAAAATAACACGCTTTTAGCATTTCATCATTTAATTCATTACGGTATATATGTTAAGTTACATATATTCTACGAAGGCCCTATCGTCACACATGAATAACAACTTATAGTAAATAATATGCATTTTTAATAATTATTGTCAGTTTGTAATAGTTATTCAGAACTCTTAAGTTAAGATTTGCATATCTATAGAGTACTAGAGTCCACTCTAGAATTTCAAAATAAGTATAGAGCCAGCTTCCTTTATGCTAATTTGAAAACAAGCAAAAGATTTATGTGAAACCCTTAATTTTGTGATAATGAAAAGCATTTGAGATCTATTTAATATTTGAAAAGCAATCCCAACGCTGTTTTTTAAGCTCAAAAATTATGAAACTATTATAAAATATATAATTGACAATTATTATAATTGTGCAATAGTGATATATTTATCAAAATTTATCCCTCATTAAAAATTATTGAATAAATTATTTGCACATTTTAATAATTTTCAATTAGATGGGAAAAATTCAAGAAATTTAAAATGCTTAAGTTATTTTTTTAAAATATTGTGTTTATTCTTCCGTTTTAAAATATAGTCAGTTTTTTTAAGCGAGATGAATTATTATAACTATTAATCTTGATTAATGAGCATATATTATCCTAAAATCCTATAATTAAAATTCAAAGGTTTTACTTCGATCTGTAAGAAGTTTTACTGGAGCTTTTTAATTTTCTGGACGAAAAAAGAAATCGAGGAATACTTTTAAGTTGAGAGATAATTTTACAAAATAAACGAGTTTTCTAAAATGCAGTTTTAGTGCTATGATTTTCATTAATGTGTTGAGATTTGTATGAAAATGAAAGTATTCGTGACTTATTTTGTTAGTCACCAATTCTGTATCATTTTTCATCTAAGTATATGTTTTTCTCAAGAGTTGGTGTTCATATGAATTGTATTTTCAAGATTTTATTTCCCCTCTTGATAGTGGATAGACAGGGAAAGGGAGCAAAGGGAAAATAATTTAAAGAAAGGGAAGAAAATCAAAATATTCAATATCAAAATTAATTAAACTTTTACCTTATTTAATTTGTAAAACATATTCTAATTATATTAGATATAATAATAAAATTCATTGTTGCAATCGACATTAATGTCATGGTTTTGATTATTTCTAAATATATCTTTTAAGCTTAAGTAAGTATGCAATTTAAATTAAATGTGTAAATCTAATTCACGTTTATCTTAAGTTTTTCTATGCGGAAAAGCTTATTTTCAACTTTTATAAGCTAAAAAGTATATTCAAAATAATTACTAAAAACAATGTATTATTGATAATTATCAATTAGTTTCTTAACAGTCATCAATTAGTTTTCAATACGATTATTGATTATTTTGTTTAAGCAGGATTTTTCAGAATTAATCACATTTTTTAAAAAAAAATAATCTTATATTTAAGCGAGAATATCAATTTTCTTAAAATTTTCAATTTCATTATTCAAATTAAAACTAATTTAAATTATGTTTTTGTTAATTCGGCTTTTATTCGTCTATCGATAAAAGAAAGTATCTATGAAAATTTCCTGAGAAATTATGATTGTAACAAAGTCAGCAAAATTCTTATTTTCCGAATTTTTTTTAAAAATTTCATCATTTTTTTTTTAAATCAGTTGCTTGATATTTTTTTAAATTATTATTTCCCCCTTTTTCATATTTCTATAATTTTCCTTTGTTTTATCTTCATTTTGAACTATTCATTTGATATATATATATATATTTAATCAACTATTAAATAATTAAGTAATTAGAAAACAGTATAATATTCTAAATCGAAGATCGGAAAAAATTATGGTATGTTTCATATTTTTTGGTGAAAATCATTTAGAATGTATCTTTTATTATTTTGTTTATCATTAAATGAGGTGTAATGTTTTTGAAAGTGATTCCAAGCAGAACAAATACTCCTGGGAAAAATTGTAGCATTCTTACTCGAAGCATAATTAACGATTCTTATGTGATTGTTAAATGAGAAGATTTACTCTTTAATACTCATTTATTATCGATTTCAATGTCAAAATTAATCAAACAGTTTCATTGCCAATGTCAGAGAAAACTGATGTCAATAAAATTAATGCTCCGAAATTAGAAAATATTGGGTTTAAATCAAAGATCCCACGCTCTTTTTAAATTAAAGCATTCCACATGTCAGAACTTGTTTTGACATGTAATATGTGTTTTGAATAATTCGTTACAGGATTTTTTTTGTTTTTGTCTAAATCTATATTTTGTTTTCTTTTTAATGTGAATTTTCAAATTATTAAAATGAAGTACTAAAATGAGAAAAATGAGAAATTTCGAGTCGTCCTTCTTTTTGCTTTTATTCAAATTTCTAAAGACGCAAAAGCTGCTCGTGATATATCAGCTGTGTAAGAAGACGGCGGCGTAACTGAAAATTCGGAACACAAAGTTTAGAATGGAAATTTTGACTTCAAAAATGCACCCTGTTCTAGTAATTCAGTAGTTTAGTTTGAAGAAGAGGATCAAATCTACTTTAGCACAAACATTCGAGTCAAAATGACAGACTAAATCAGACAGTCAAAATGACAGACAGAGAAATGACAGACTAAATCAAACGCTTCTACACATTAAATTTCTAAAAAATTAAAAATAAAAATGGCGGAAACTTAGTTGCGAACCCAATGCTTCAAAATGTCTGTTACCAAAATCCTTTATTGGAATTTTGCTGATTTTTTAGACTTATTAATGCGACAGTAAAAAGATGTTCTTTTACAGAGTCTTATAATTATTTCTAAAATAAAACTTTTTCAGTCCAAGACGATTAATCTGTAATGAATATTGTACGTATAAAAATATTATAAATTTGTTCATATTGAAATATTGAAAGCTTTTTCTGAACATAAGCTGAAATTTCAAGTCAATGTGGTTCGAAATATTATGTTTTAAAGCATATCTCCAATTTAGATATTGGTAGAAAAGTTCAAGGAAAACAAGTAAGGATAGTTTATCAACATGGATTAAACAGAATATATTTGTTATGTAGAAATGTTTATAAAAATATTAAACTTGGCAAAATAATTAGAAAACTTTTTCTTACTAAGGCTTTGTTACCAAAAAGATTAAAAACCAAAAAACGAACAATTAATATCAATGTATTGCGTATTTTAAAACTTTAAAATATCATATTTAGCATAATGTACTACTTTGATTTCGAGAGCGGAATTGCGATAATATTATAAACCTATATTTCAGCACAGTCTTATATACATCATTTTAAAAATTTAAGTAAATTGCAATAAAATAATTTACTTAATTATAATAAATTTAATTGAATTTAAATAAGATTGAAAATGAATGGTGACTGATTTTAATTTTTCATTTTCAGCATTTTATTGTTCATAAAATGGTCATAAAATTAAAAAAAGTTTCTTTATTTGATGTCTTTGGTACATTTCTGGAAAAGCAAGATAATTGTTACTTTTGATATTTATTTCCTTGTAATGGAATTATTTATCTTTACAAGTACAGTTCAATTTTAAGTACAATACAAAATAAACGAATGAAATCAGAAAAAAATTTAGTTTTCTAAAAAAATTTAAGCATAACTATACTATATGCGATTTATGAAAAATCAACAATTTTATAGAAATTTTCTAATTACTTTTATTTTATAACTCCTCATTTTATCAGAGAACGGTATCATTTAAAATATAAAATTTAAAAATTCAGAAAAATTGAACGTGAAGTCTTAACATTTATAAAACCATTATTTACAAAGATTATTTACTAATACTACTAACTATTTACGATTATTATTTACTAAAAGAAAATGATACTGTATGGTTACACAATATTCAGTCTGAAAAATGCAACATTTTTAAAGAATATTCTTATTACTAAAAACAAACAAAAGTTCCTAATCATTTATTTTCGTTTGTATTCAAGCATAAATGTGAGTTAATAAGTTGTCTGTACAAACTTTTATGCACTGATTTTTAGAACACTGTGACAGAATTTAGTTTTTTTGAAATTAAGTGTATAATGTGGATTATTTTTGTGAATGTTGCATAATTTTGTATAGTATAAATTTTTGCTTAATAAAAAACTACATTCTAAAATCTTTAAACAAGTCAAATAGTTTAGACATTTAATGAAAGTTTTTTATTCTTCAAATATGTATAATTTTATGCGTAATGTAAAAATTAATTATTTTGGAAATTATGTCCTGTTTTGTTAAAAGAAACAAGAGGAAGCTTGTTATACACATTAATGATTGATATTTCATAATATAATGCAACTTTTATAAGTTTTTTTTAACTGCTATTAAAATAAAATTTAAAAATAAGTCACATTTTAAAATTTAATTTAAATAGCTTGATCTAAATCGAATACATTATTAATTGTAATCGATAATACGAAGGTCACAATAAACTCAACTAGAAACAAATGTAGCAAACAAGAGGAATAAAAATATCATAAGTTACTTTAAAATTTCTTTAACTCTAAGTAAATAATATGCATAAGCTTGAATCGGATTTATTTAAGAAATGAAAACTAAAAATAATATTAAAATTACTTACTTCTCCTGTCCGAATTTTATTAGCTAAACTCGTTGCTGATTCCAATAGTACTGGATCTGTTATATCCGCTAGCTTTTTTCTACGACCACAATGTTTTAGAATCAGAAAAAATCTTGATATCAGTTCAATAATTCTTCTAAAAAATCGAATTGCATATGCCGCAAATTTGTTTCGTACCAACACAGCCATATCCCATCCACTAACAAGATGTAATGGAACTTGCAAATTGATGATAATTAAAGCAGACGATAATGTTGAAATAATAACAGATAATAAGTGCAAACGATTTATAGAAGTTGAAATAATAATTAAATTTCAAGTCTATAGCACAGTAAAAAAACTAAGATAAAAATCGTCTGCTCTTAAACAGAAAATGCAAATTTTTTTTGATAGCAGAGCTTCTTGTAACAATTCATATTTGATTTTAATTTGAAGACTCATAAGAGAGTTTAATAATTCAATATAAAATTATTAAAAAATAATCGTCTGCTAATTTATGGGAGGAAAGATGGTAATTCCGCATCGCATTTGAAAGTGAAGACGAGGATCTGTTTCCGAAAATTTTGCCTTCCGCTTAGCACAGAAACACGATTCGTTTTTCTCTCACGGGAGGAGAGATAGGAGAGAAAATTGTAACGATTTCTTTGGCTACGCAAGATTGGATGCGAAAGAAAAAATAAAGAGAAAAGTGAAAGCTTTGTAGTATTTACTCAATACTTCTAATAGGATGGCCTCCGGCAATAGGTTTGAAGATTCATAAATGACAATCGATCACGTGACCTTAAAGTTAGTTTCGGTTTGCTCGACGTGAAGCTGTTCCATGTCGTTGAATATTAAAGAGAAAAAGGCAAACAACTTTATTGATAACAGTTTCATCTACGAAAAGTAATTGCGAGCAAAATGGAGTTTAAAATTTTTTGTTAAATGTCATTTTCAAGATAAATCATAATATCATTTCATCAACATCACTTTTCGATGAATATAAAAAAACATTGTTGATAAATACAATAGAACTAAACACGAAAATATTTGTACCTATTTTTCAAAATTTGAACGACTAAGTCAAATATGATGCAATAATATTTCTTCTTTTGATATTTTTTCGTATGTTGCCTTTTTCACATTTGGTAAAGAGATTTGCCCGGTCAATAGGAGAGGTTTTTGATGGTCACTTCTAAAGGTTTTCTTGAACACTAAGTTCATGAAAAAAATTTTATGCCTCCCAAAAGTAATCGTAAATGGAAGAGGTCTCTATACAGAAGTGGTCTTTCCTGGAAGTTTCGCTGTATAATGTATGATATAACTATATTAAAACCGGAAAATAAAATAGTGAAAAGATATAATTTCCTCATCAGCTCACTTGATTATATCCGCTAAAAAGAGTGCTTTCTAATACTGTATCAATATAGCCAAAGCAAAATATATCAATACAATAGTGCGAGGAGCACTCAAAATTTACAACAAATAAAATAGAACGCATTAAGTAAAAATATCACGTAAGAACAGAACAGAACTTTTTTTTTATTTTTTACTTCTTTTTGGGCTTTATGTATTCATTTATAGATAGATAGATTATATTATAGATAGATAGACAGATTATATTATAGATAGATGGATCATATAATAGATAGATGATAAATAGATGGTTAATAAAATGCTTACAAAGTTTAGATATTAAATAGGGATCTTCTTAATTCATTTTAAGTTTATTTAACAGTTTACGTTGGATTTTTCTATCGATGACAATGATGGTTTCCTATAGCAGGAATGTTAGGATTTGGCACAGATTTATCCAGCCATGAAAATATGAAAAAGCCATGCATTTTCGATGGCTCCATGTATTTAACCAGGGATTCTGAAAGGAAATTGGTTGCAAGAATATCCATATAATCAAACGTCATTCAAATAGTAAAATTTAGCGATTTCGATATGTTCCAAAACATGACGCCATGCAGACGATAGGGAATTTTTAGGATTTTTTGTGAAAGAAAAATTTCTACGTCTTAAAATTAATAAGAGAAATCTATTTTAAGCTCATGATTTAACATAGAAAGACTCGTATTCTATATTATATAAATATTCTGTGATATACATATATATACTTTCTTTTTTAACTTGTTACTCGTTTTATAAAATCATTTGAAATATATTTTTAATTTATATGTATAATTTATGTGTTTTCTCCGTTGTTTACTTATTCAAAGGGATATTATTAAAAGACAAATATCGTATTGCTAACTTTTAGAAAATAATTCCCTTATTTGATTTCGAAATATCTTTCAATTAGAATATTAGATGTACTATAATACATAAGTGAGATTGCAAGTTGACAACGCACTGTAAAGAAAACCGGATCAAATTGTAGTAAAAAGTTCCGGAAGTAAAAGCTAGTACTTTTTACTTCAAAATCCATTTTTACCAGATCATGTTACAATACCCAAAAATCGGATATACCGTAATTTTTGAAGTAAACATTACCTTAAAAATCATTGAATATTTAAATAAATATTGTTAAATTATAATTAAACAAATATTAATGAATTATAACTAAATAAATGTTTATAAATTATAATTGATTATAAACGTTAATAAATTATAATTAAATATACTATATTAATACATTTAAATAAATGGATATTAATAAGTTATAATTAAATAAATATTAATAAATTATAATTAAATGAATATTAATAAATTATAATTAAATAAATATTACTATAAAATTTACTGTATAATATTTTAAATTCTTTTTCGGTGCTCTATACCGTAATTTGATCCGGTATGGTATCGCAAAGTGCCAGTACTTTAAACCTTAATTTGATCCAGAATTTTTTAACTGTGTTATAACACCCATCACCGACATAATTTATTTTGTATAAAATATAAGAAAAATTCATAATCAAGCATTTAATTAAAACCGCAACACGATATGTTGAATTTATTTTTATGCATATACTTGAAAAACTTACAGATGAGTTCAATTAATATAAATAACGTTTCTAAACATAATGATCAATGTATTATAATTCGAATAATATATTGATTACTAGGCAGATTTTCAATGATTTAAACATATATACTAAAAATAACAACATAACAACAAATATACTAAAAATGGAATTTAAACAGGGGCAAAAAATATTATTTATTTATTTATTTATAATTGTTATTTTGTATTTCTTTTTTTTTTTTTGCAAGGGGGCGTTGAATGCTTTTAGACTTACAAGCTGTGGGGTGATTCAAAAAAAAATTCATTTTAAATACGCCAACATTAAACAGGGCTTATGACAAATAACCCTGCAAATTACAAATTTTGGCATGCTAGATCAGGTTCAATTTTTATTTATTTATTCAAAGTTAAGTTTTTATATAGATTTTCCTTATGAACTCAAGCGGTTCAACTAGTTATAATAGTAATCAAACTTAATGAAAGCATAGTAAAAAAAAAAATAGAAAAGGCAAAAATTAAAAACCACAGGTACCGCTCTTCCCAAATATTAGAATATAAAATTAGGATAATAATGGTTCATTAGTTTTTGTTAGTTCATTAGTTATGTTTTTGTAACATGTATTACTTTTACAGAGGAAAAAAAATCCTTTCTTTAAATTCTAGATAACAGAAAACAGGTTTTAAAACAAAAAATTTATTTGAGCTTTGATAAATTATGAACTGAAAACAATTTAAATTTTTTCCTGAACTCCATGGGAAATAATTTCCTTTATAAAATGATACGGGCAATTAAATAAACTTTTTTCTAATTAAATAACTTGCTCGAAAATACAATTACTTTTGACCTGACTTAGGTAAAATATATAGCCAACAAAACATGTTCTTTTACTTTTTATATTTAATTCCCCTATTTCTTTTCAGAGTTTAATTGCAAAAGCTTGAAAAACATGAAACGTATTTTAAGTTTCCTTCTCGCGCGGAAATGTTAAATTTATATTAGTTAAATGCAAGAAAGAACTTGGTATGTTTTTTATAAAATGGTATACTATTTCACTGTTTGTATGAATCACTGTTTCAATGTCTGTATGTGTTTGCATGAATAGAGAAATAATCCTAAGCAAAGATTTCCATAAATTCTTACATCTCACGAAAATATCTCATATTTTTGTGCAATAAAGTTTGACTTGGGTGAAAGAAGAAATTTATGAGGGCACGGTCCTGGTTGCTCAGGGGTCAATTTATTTGAAGCATAATTATGGAGTACTTCATGAAACTGCACTAAGACTGAGCAGGCTTTAATACTGATACTATGGAAATAAATTTCTTACTGCTCGTCTGAAAGGGATAATTTCCGGGGAAAATTATTTGATACAGGTTCTTAGTACTTTGGCATTTTTTTAAATTTACGTCACACTAGATCTGCACAATGGGCTATTGGCGACGGTCTGGGAAACATCCCTGAGGATGATCCGGAGACAACATACATACGCCACATCCCGTTTTACAGGGAGGACGCATTCACACACCAACCATTCATCCTCAGCTCGTAATTTTGACCTGAACCAGAGCACCACCAGTACCCCCAGAGATGTTGAGTTGTTATGGGAACTTAGAGGTGTTCGAGTCCTGATAGATTTAGCAAGCACCAGTCACCATTTTGTACTAGGAGATTACTCGGCCGCGGGGATTGAACTCATGAAGTCTCGAACAGTTGCCCAACGCCTTACTAATTTGTGATTTTGTGATGTTACGTAGATACAGATTCTGACATGTCTTTCATCATAGATTATGAAAATTTATTAGATTTTGCTTATTTCTAGATTTTCTTAGATTAGCGAGCAGGGGGCGCAGCCCACTAGTTATTAAAAACGCACAATAAACTCTCGCTGAAGTTTAAATTTCCTTTGACTTGGATCAGCGCTGTACGCTGGCTAAAGTTACAGATGTTTAATCTTTATCCTGCTTTTAAATGATTCATCCACGTAATTGTCTTGAAGTTTAAAAGCAACAATTAATTCCATATTAATCGATTTGAAATGATTTTCTTTGGACTTAAGCTTTTCGGATGTTCGGAACACGTTACAGTGTTGTCCACCGTCTTCTCAAACGTATTTTTACTGCACCTCATTTTCAAAATCTTGGGCTCTGGCTAATATTACAATAAAATCACTATGATTTAATCAATTTAAAAAATATTGTTTTTATTATTTTTTTATTTTTAAGTATTCAACCTCCAAGCATGCAAATTATTCCGAGAAATCAAAAGAACTACTAGAAAATAAAATATGTTTAAGCATTTTCGGATTATTATTTAAGTAAATGTCTTGAACATTAAATTCACAATTCTACTTTTGAATGTATCATGCGGGATGAATCATTGGTTAAAATTAAACTAAAGTATTTAGAATAGGAAAAATGTTAAATTGGCCCTCCTCTGGATTGAAATTTGATGGAAAAAAAACACGTAATCTATTTCATTTATTTAGGCGAAACTGTAAACTAGGGGTCCAACAGAAAGGGAATAATTAAAGGGCCTTGCAAAATAATTTTCCCAGGCACATCCCTAAGTCTCGCGACGGCTCTGAATGATGGATCTGTATAGCGAATATAATATTTTATTATATAGATC